GATTTTATTTATTTATTTGACAGAGAGAGACACAGCGAGAGAGGGAACACAAGCAGGGGGAGTGGGAGAGGGAGAGGCAGGCTTCCCGCAGAGCAGGGAGCCCGATATGGGACTCGATCCCAGGACCCTGGGATCCTGACCTGAGCCGAAGGCAGCCGCTTAACGACTGAGCCACCCAGGCGCCCCTCCCTGTCTCTTTAAAGCAGGATCTTTAATGGCCACTTAAGATTCGTAATTAACATGTGGACGGCCCCCACCTCTCTGGACCACTGTCCTTGACCCTCCCGTTTTTTGGCTTTGTCCTTCAGTTGTAGGACTACAGTGCCCTGGGGGTCCCCACTTGCCCCCTGGGGACTCCTGGACACCATCCCCCCCAGCAGATCGTCCCTCCCCAGGCCATGCTCTGTCCCGACCATCTGCAGTGGGCCATCCGGTCACCCTCTTCCGGTGCCCGAGGAAGGAGAGATGAGCTCCATGTTGGGATGCACTTTGACTGGGATTTATTTTATTATGTTTAATTGAAAGGCACTGAGGTCGTGGCATGAATATTCAGCACGGCTGCTGGTGCGGGAGCTGGAGTCTGATTCTAGGACGCGCCCCAGCACAGCGGGGCCTGTCAAAGGGGGAGTGAGGTGGGGAAGCTATTAATTGAAATAGCTTCATTAATTAGTAATTAACAGCAGGGAAATGACTGTGTCACACGTCCTATTTCAGTGGATGCCCTTCATGTGTTATAGGGCCTTTAATTAAAGGACGTGCATTTTAATTAAAGGCAAGCGTGGCCCTTTGGCCTTTGGAATACAAAAGACACTCCCAACTTTCAAAGAAGCTGTTGGGGAGGCCGGTGCAGGGGGCAGGGGAGCCGTGTCCCCCTGTGTTGGACCCCTTCGCCTTCCAGCCCCTCCTGGGTCAGTGGCCCCAGGCTGATCCTCCTTCGAGTCTAGCTGGCACCCTTCCTGAGCCCGAGGTGGTGGCCATATGGGGCCATGTGAGGTCCGAGGCCAGTGGGGGGACCCTGGCCAGAGCTGCTGGCCCTGACCAAGCAGCCTCGCTGCCCTCCCCCCGAGTCCTTCAAGTAGGGGCTAGAAGCTGGAGGGAGACGCCCCGGGGCCGGTGCTGACCCTGCATCTGCCCCAGGCTCTGCATCTCCGCCTGGCCGAGTAGCTGGCCGGAAGGCCAGGGCCGACACTCACCCACAACTGTGCCTGGCACGGGAGGACGCTTGGCCTGCTCCTGACACCGTGAGCCAGGTGGGGTGTTTCCTCGCACCTGCCGGGGCCCAGCAGGCAGATCCTGAGCCCACCACACCTGTCACCTGCAGACTCCTCAGGGTCCCCTCCTGCCACAAGCCTCCTGCCCGCAAAGATGCAACCAGCCAGCTCGGGACCACACCCCTGTCCTGCTCTGCCTCTGCCTCTGTCCCCCAGTGTCCTGTGCGCGTCACCCTGACCACCTCCTGAATGACTCTTGCCGAGGTCACAGAGACAGGGGCCAGGGGCAGCGGGAGAGACTCCTGCTGGGACTCCGGGCCCCGCGTGTCCTCCCAGCCTTCCTGCCTGGCGCCTGCGGTTGCTCGGATGCACCTGCTCTTGGCCCCGCCTGTGCTGTCCACCTCGAGATCTTGGCCTGGCCTCTGTCTCTGCCTGATCACCCCCACCCCATCATCCAGCAGACCTGCGCGTGCACACACACTCATCAACACACACACGTGTACACGCAGGCACACAGCCCTGGTGTGGCGGGGGTCCCCACTAGACAGGGGCTCGGAGGGCAGCACTCATGAACAGTGCTCCTTCGTGCACCCCGCCTGGGGCCTGGCCCGGGGGGTCCTTGGTGGAGGGCACCATGGAAGCCGGGCACAGGGGTCCCGGCCCACGTGCAGAGCGCTCTGCCCACCCCCCCGGTCGGCAGGGAAGAAATACCCAGCATCAAGAGGAACTGGGACACCTGTGGCAGAAAGCCTGGGGGCTGCTTCCTTCCCAACGATCAGGCAGCCTTGCACCCACCTCAGGCGGAGGTGGGCACAGGGCAGGGAGACCCCTCTGCCCCGAGAAGCCCATCTGCTATTTCAAACGCAGGCCCTCAAATTCTTTCCCTTGAGCACCGTGAATCTAGGTGGGCTCTAAGACCAGAAGGTGATTTCTGGATTAGGCCAGGAAAGGCTCCTCTGGGACACTGGGTCTTTGGACCCCCCGCCATGCTGTGGGAAGTCCAGTCAGGCCTTGAGGGCGACAAGGGGGAGGCCCTCAGGCCAACTGCCTGAGGGA